TCCGTGCACCTGCTGTTTTTTGAATTTCACCCGTTTTTTTTTCAACGAAATTAGTTATCAACCGACTTAAAAAAAAAAGAGAAAGGTTACCAAATCATCGGATTATTATTTTTTTTTTATTTTTATATAAGCATTGAGGTCGGTTGTATTTTCTGCCGTAAAATTATTTATTTTTTCAATTTATTTATGTTTTGTTGTTTCGAGATTAAAATTTTTCGATCAGTTGTTTATCATTTTAATTGAAATTGAATTTATCGCATAATATTTATGGTCTAAAAAATAAAATCTGACCAACAAATAAAAACTGGAAACATTAATTAGTTTCAATCAATAAAATACAAATCACAAAATGGCGAGTATTCTTGATCTAAAAAACAAAAATCTCAAAATAGTTGGTTGTGGTTTCACGTCCTCTAAACATTTATTTAGCCGTTAAAAAATTTACGACACACGACAATACGACACTTACGACATCTGTTGAACCACCTAAATGTTTATATATGATCGAAAAAAACGAAACCCAATTTTTTTTTTTTAAATATGATTATTATTATTACAAAGAGCATAACTGTTGCGGTACCTGAAAAGGCAAGTTAAACAGTTAATTTTTCAATTTGACACACCAAATATGGGCTTAAATATTCGTTCTGTATGTTCTGGGCGTTTTTGCTATCTTGTGAAAAAGTATTATTTTTACTGTCTAATTAATAGGCCCAACTCGGGGTTGTGTGGGAAAGAGCTATATTCAGCAGACGTTTTTCACAAATCAGAATCATTTTGTTAAAACTTGTTTACACTAACGCCTGTTTTCACTGTAGAGAGTTAACATATCAAGAATAATCTACAGTTTATTTAGTTTGTTGACTACTGATAAAAGAACACATGTACCAGGCGTATGAGCGACTTCTTATAAATAGGTTTGAATATTAGGTTTGTTTGTTGTTTCCGGGTTGTTTCGGTACTTAGAGCGTAAAAATAATTATTTTTAAGATAATTAAGTTACTCTCTCACAAGTGTCAAATACGTATCAACAAATACCAAAAGTGCTCAGAGCGTGAGGAACGCAGAAAACCGCATTTCGTGCCCGAAATCAAAAAATCAGCTCCAAACAATTGGGGTGTTCACAGTTCGTTCCGAATTATGTCTCATAATGTAGACGTCTACATATTGAGACATTTTTAGCATCAAACTGTGAGCACTCCTTTCTAGCAGTCGTCGCAAAATCGTCGCGAAATCGTCACAAAACTTTGCTGGTGTTGCCAGGCAATTCTTCTTTGCGTCCACTTTTATATGTCGCATTTCGATTTCGGTTCTGAAAAATTTTAATTGTTTATCTTTATTACCAATTACCACTATTTGTTCTTTCTTTTCTTTAATTTGTTTGTTTTCTGCGGCCATTGCGCTCAAATCAAATGCAAATACGGGAAACATCCCCAATAAATTAAAAAAAATATGACTCGTATTGCCAATGGTTGCAAAATGTAGACGCGTAGAAAACATACCTTTGAGTGTGACAAAATGTAGACGGCGTCGTTTTCCAATTTTGTATGGGAAACAACAACACCCTAGATTTTACGGTTGGAAAACGTCTTAAAATGTAGACGTCTACATTTTGAGACACTATTTTCAACGAACTGTGAACAGCCCAAATGATTTTATATCTTATATGGCTAAACAATATTAGCGAATACCTATATTTCTGAATCGTTTGTGCTATATTCCATTTTTGGATTTTACAAAGAGTATGTTCCTTTGAACTTCGGACTAAAACCTGTGAAACTGTTAAACTACAATTTTACTCTCTCAAGTGACAGTAAAAGGAGAACAGATGCAGAAGTGCACGGGAACGCAAAAAGCACTTTGTATTTCCGGTAAAAAACTTCAGTCGGTTTGTTTACATGTGATTGGCACAACACTGATTTGGCTGAAATATCACTTACTATTTAATAAATTCCATGGTGAAATAAATATAAGGTGATTTCACTTACATAACCTCACTTTTTCTGCATGTCAATCGCGGCCATGCATTTTGGGGTAGTAGAGGGAAAAGATTAGGATTAGTTTTATAGGCTGTTTTTGCTTACGCGTAAAAGCACATTTAGCGCATTTAGCTCTAAATGCTACTCTAAATGTACATTTATCCATACAAAATTCGTCACCTAAATGCAACTAAATGCAACTACATTTTTGCATTAAGAATCTAAATGCTAAAAGCAACCCTGTGATCTTCCAAAATTTCCACGATTCGAACATGGTTTAAAGAGAAAAAGTGGCAACATTGCTTTTTCGAGTATACAGTTGCTAGCTGCGTTTCAGTGATCGCCGATCGAGATTTCTTTTATTTTGCATTACATATTTGGATAAAGAAAAGTTAAGCAAATTCAACATCGATTTGATACTGATAGAAATCTGGATCAATTTGTGATCAACTCTGTTTGGTTTGTTTCCTAATTAAGTGAGGAAATTTTAATTGAATGCACCGACAAATAAATATATACACAAACAAATGTTCGTTTATGGTTAAAACAATTCAAGTTTTTGTATTGAATTTTTGGTTTAAAATTTATTTTTTCCTTTTCAGTAGGGTTTTTGCACATTATCTTCTGCGTGAGAATTGATCGTAATATATACGCATCTAAATAAGAGACTGGAACACGGCTGTTTGTCAAAAGCATACGATTTCGAACTCGCGTAAATGTACATTTGCTAAATGCTATAGCATGAACGCTCTTCGAAAACATATGTTCAAAAGTGCTAAATGTTGCATTTTAAATGCAGCAAAAACGCTGCATTATACGTTTTGGGTACTATTCATACATACATCAGTGGACCCCACATCGGTTAAATGAAGCTTGCATCAATAAAATATTTTTTCTGTAAACCTGTGTAGTTTAATATGGCTGCATCACTAACTAAATTTTTAATAAATTATCGAAAAAATTGTAGTCAATGTCTCGGAAAATATAGGAGACATCTGAAAACTAATTACACCAATCGATAGACCTTATTTCAAAATATATAACTGCATCTAAAATTAAAAATCGTCAAAATGGCGCATACGACAATCTTTTACCCAGGCGATATGTAGACGTTTTCTTCATGTTATTTTTCGAGATAAGTTCTCAGTGCGTACTTTGCAAATTTCCATATATCGCACACCATCTTCAAAAGTGACTCAATTCAAAATTTGTGCATTTCTGAAATTATGCTCTATAAATGTACAAAGAGCTTGTATTTACGTTTCTGCAAAAGCTGGAGCAAATTTTTGTTATAATTTGTTGTCTTACTTGCCCATATGATTAGCATGTGCTAAGAAATAGTTTTTCACGTTTTCTGACAAGCGCGTAATTTTGAGTTGTGTCACTTTTGAAGATCGTGTGCGATATGTAGATTCCATTCATAAATCAAATAAACTGTTCTCACTCAGATGTGAGAATCGGCAGTTGGCAACGCGAAATGTCTGATAATGTGTTCATCACAATGTAAGCGACAACGCTACAATCGCAGCAAAACTCATGCTTTCTGTTTAGGCTTGCGTATCATGTTTTGTTTAGATGGCGTCACATTCACTTATATTAACATATTCAAGAAGTAGCAAATGTATCCAAAAACTAGTTAAAAATTGGTTCCTGTGTTATTTTGTGCATGAAAATATTTAATCTTCGGCGACTGTAGTGTCGTCGTCATTGTGTTGAACACATAATTAATATCTATTGGCAAGTCATGCACCCATAGTTGTATTTAGCCATTGCTTGTTTTTTCTCACGTATTTGGGCCATTGGGTGGGATTTTTTATTTCAATTAAATATAAACATATTCTTTAAAGATTTCTTTTTTATCAATACATCGTTGCGAAGATTACCAACTCAGATAATTACGTTCGTATATGTACTAAAACACGCGTGCAAACATCGCAATTCTGACAAAAAACCTTTATCAGTTTTGGCCATAAAGTGGCTCTGAATTGACGTTTCGCTGCAGTACAGGAAAACAGCTGTGTGTGAGGTGATTTTAAAGTGCTAAAGCTATTGCGGAGCAGAATCTGTAGAAGTTGCACAGTTTCATCGCTATTAATTTGCCACTTTTCATTTAGCTGTTCCTCTGCATGGAAAGGATCCAAGCTCCAAGTAAGATAAACGGCGCTAAACATACATACATACCTGTATTCGTATGGAATAGTAGCTTATGTCGAGAAGCTAGCTTTAATATAGTGCGGCATTCCTTTTATTCTTTAAACAACAAGGAATTTTTTCATGAGACTTAATTAGAATATTTACTTGCTTGTATCGGAAATATTTCTGCACGATTATTTCCCAAAAATTCTTCAACGGCTCGGCGCTAGTGAGTCATTCGCATTCATATGCTGCGAATGCCGCATTATGCTAAAGCCAGCCTTTCGACATTAGCTACCGTTCCATACGAACACACATATCTGCAGTGAATTAAATTTGGCTTGTTTCTTTAACTTGTTTGGCAACATAAAATTGTGCAAAAGACATTAAACATTTGGTTAATTATGCATTTGCTAACACATACGGCGATCGCTACATGGCCGCTACAACAACAATATCGCTACCATGGCTGTAAAGTGCACCAACAGCTATGCCCGACGTCTAAAATTATTGCATTAGCAAATAGAAGGTAAAAAAATATATTGTTGGAAATTTTTGCAAATGCCTACCAGCAACACAGGCAAACGGTTGGAAAGAGCACATTAGTGAGTGAGTGCGTCTTACACATAACACTAAATTTGCAAGGGTATTGATTGTTTCTATTAAAAAATTTGTTTTGTAAGATCATCGTTAGATCAATTTCATCCATCTGGCTGGTGTACCAAGCGACGTCACATACTGTTTGATAAGTTAATAGTGCATGAGCTTTGTTTTTATTCATATAGACCAATATGTAATGTTAAATTTTTAAGAATCAGTCAGATATTCTATTTTTTATCTCTGTAGAAAGTTATGATTACAACTTTAGTTATCCTTTTTTATTTACAGTTTCATGAGATCGTACCCGATATGGATGATGCCGATTACATGATGTTTAATGAGAAGCAATCTATACGTGAATCTGCGCGTTCACTCAAAAAGTATGGCAGTACCTGCTGTAATCAAAATTTGCGAAACAATGAGACGCTTATCCGACATGATGTCGAAAAGACAGACACACTGCAGGGCATTGCACTGAAATATGGATGCACGGTAAGTCTTCTTAAATTAGAGTTATACCATTTTCCTATGGCATCCTGAATTACTTTGTTCGCTCCCCCAATTACGATCGCGAATTACCCCATTCCCACGGGCACATTCTTAATTCGACGTATTAGATTAAAGATATACACATTTATAAACTTTACTTTTCGTACTCGGAAAAAATGCAAATTTTAATTTGTGAGTTAGTGTCCATAAACATCCGATAAAAATTAGAGGCGTCACCGATTTGTTCGTAATTCACATGGTAATTGGATCTGAATTACTAACAAATGAGGAAATTCGCTCTCAAAATTTTGTATGGCGAATAACGTAATTCGAAGGGTGATTGGGGTGCTAATTACGAATGAGAGAGCGAATTACGTAATTGGGGTGCCGTGGGTAAGCCCTATTAAAGATAAAGTTAAAGGCATGTTGGTTATTTTTGCGTTTAATTAATATGCATCATTAGAAGAACTATATGAGCCGTTCTGTGCACACATCGATTAACCCCACTTTTTGAAAAATCTTAAATTTAAGTGTCAAAGCACTTGGTATAGTCATAACTTATTACGTTTATAATAACTTCATATAACATACAATAGTACATGTTATTTATAACAACATTATTTGTTGGAATGGAATTTTAAAAAATAATGTACATTATTTGATCGCATCTCCCAACTTTTTGTTGATGGAGTTAACCGATGTGTGCACTGAATGGCTCATATGTACATGGATATGGATTATATGTATGTAAATTGTGCACATGTACATACATCCACACAAACATACATACAGGCATGTACATAAGTTAGGGCTGTGCGATTATTCGATTACTCGAGCAAGTTGGTTAATCAATTATTCGGTTAATCAATTACTCGAGTAATCACGATTTTGATTACTCAAAACGATGATTAATCGAATTACTTGAAATATGATTACTCAAAAAAATAATTTTGCTCGTTAAAAGAGTTTGCTTTGGAAAATGCTTATTTACTTTTTTACATTCTGTATATGAAAAAAAAAATTTCGTTTTAATTTTTGAAAACAGAAACGTTGTTTTCAAAGTATCAAGGAACTTTAACTATTTTATACATATGTAAAGAGTTGAAATGTTGATTACTCATTTTATTCGAAATGTTGATTAATCATAAAACAAATTACTCAAATATTTTTGTATTTGGTTAATCAAAAATCTTGATTACTCGAGTAACTGAACTTTTGAGTAATCATAACTTCTAATTAATCGAATAACTGAGTTATTTACTTTATGATTAATTAAAATTTTGAGTAATCAATTAATCGCACAGCCCTAACATAAGTATTTATACATATCTGTGGACAGATGACAAAACAACTCAAGTCTGTCTTTCACGGAGACACAAAGTAGCATATGTCGGCAAAACATATTTTACCGTCAAAAAGAAAAGGGTTGCAATTCGAAAGAAATGTTTAATTATTTTATCGCTATTAACAACCTTTAAAAATGTTTATGTTTACAACAAGGGCATGTTTTAATTTAAATAGAATTGATTGCTCTGACAATAAAAAGTGCTTTGCTATTTTTTTGTCCGTGAAAGATAGACTTAAGTTGTTTGGGCAAATGTCCACAGATATGTATGTATGCATGTAATTGAAATCACAACATCGATTAAACAATATTTGGCCTTAAAAAATGTGCACACAAGTATGCATATCAACCATAGATTACTTTGTGGTGGCTCTCTTTCCCTTTTTAATAAAATTTGCTTTCGGCTGTAGTCGAATTTCATAACCGAAGTGAACTGACGAAATCAACAGGTCAATATATTTTTTGCCAAAATCGAGTTGTTTTTGCGTAAATGAGGTAAAAAACCAGTTGTTACTAAAAGCTCATTTGGTCATTATCCACCCAATATGTACATATGCATTTCGATTTCATATGGTTTATTCTTAAGAAAGGTATTGATTAACGAAACTAAATTTAGAACATATCGCACGTTTAATAATATAACGAAGTATTTCAAAATTTCAATTTTGTCGGGAAACGCAATCAAAATTTTATCAATTCATACTGTTGGTATACGAAAAGGCAGATGGAAAGACACATATCTTCGCCATATTTGGGAAGTTTTGTTATCTGTTAGACTGAACATATTCTACTTATCAATCTTATTAATTGCATAATGAAATCTCCAAAAACGTAAATTTTGAGTTACATCTCTATATTATTAAACATGCGATATAGAGGTTTTGTTTTAATTATGTTAACTCAGCAGATTTATTGTATTTTTTGTGTTAATTGGAATGACGACGCGGTGATACAGAGATTTGTTTTGCGTGGAACAGGATTCATATAAATACCATTTCAAAGTAATATTCTTTGCCACGTATGGTAATTTATATATTTTTAAGAATAAATAAAACCCATTTAATCTATTGTTTAAAACTTGGTAGCAAACTAAAAAAACTCAACAAATTTTCATCCAAATTTCAAACTTTTTTCTCAGAAGTGTTAGATTTTTTTGAGTATACAGTTTTAAAGGCCATTCAATTTTAGTGCAAGTTTAAAATGGCTAAATGGTTGATTTTTTAGTTTTGTTTTTGCCGAAGGTGTTGGAGTTTTCTTCCTTATAAAAATAATGTTTCTTTATTCGTTATATGGAAGCGACAAAAAAATTAAATGGTGTATGTACATACATAGGTACGTTAGGGCGGACCACAATTTTTCAAAATACTCCGCTTCTCGCACTTGTAACGAGTATTAACGTCAATGTTTTCTTACGATCGGTTCAATACGGCATTAAATATTAAATTCTTGCGGAACCCCTACATAAAGTTCCATCTACCAGCACCACAGTTTGTGACTCTACCCATATACTTTACCGCTAAAAGCAAGTGTGGCACACCCTAATGCACTTACATTCTATATAAAATAAGTCTTTGTAAAGTTAAATAAGATAAGTTTGACATACATATAGATATTTAGTTTACGTGTGCACTTTCATCATGCCGAGCCTGTCGCATGCTTTCGTTTGATTAAACAATATGTAAATGTTGCTACGCAACGAAAGTGTCTGCATTTTTTATCTCTAAATTCATATCGTCGCTTGTCGCGCAATACCTCGCATACGCCAAATGCAATACCAAGTATAAAGCAGTCTGAATATTTCCCAAAAAAACTAATAAACTTATTTTCTTCAAAATTTTTGATTTGTTTTCTAACTGAACTTACCAAATATGTGCTTCAAGCATTGAGGCAGGATAACCAAAATAAGCTTTGTTCATTTGCATTTGGCAGATACGAGGTATTTCGCGGTAGGCGACGATGTGCTCTATTTACCTTATGCCAAGTCTAATATGGCATTGATAAATAAATTTCTTATCAGTTCTCCTAACCGAACTGGTTTCTCTTGTATACATCATCAGTCACAAATTGGTAGACGCATAATAAAATATAATAGAATAATGATACAAAATAACAATTTTCCAACAATAGTTGACGAACTTTCTTTAAAATGGTTTTCAGGTTGGAAAAAACCCAACAAGCTTTGATTCTTGGTCAACTTTTTGTATTGTATTGGGCTACAAAACTGCATACTCGAAAATTTTGTAGAAATTCTAAATAAAAAGCTAAAAATTTGGATGTCATTTTTTTGAATTTTTGCGAACTTTACATATAGCGTGAAACTTTGATTTATATGCTTTACATTGTAGAATGAGCTATATTTTCATAAATAAATAATGCATTAAAATAATTGAGAATATTATATTAGAACAACGTATACTCTTTCATTTGTGGCCTAGGGTACATATGTGATTTTAGTTCTCGGATTTATTTTCCAATAAAACTGCCAAACCGTTTTCCCAAACCGTAAATTTGTTCTAAAAATCCGTCTTATGCGACCTAAGGCCTTGTGATAGTTAAAATATGTGAATAATATTTTTCAGGCTATAACTAATCTTATAAAAAAAAAAATATATTTTCACTATTATAAAAAGATTTAGGGAAAAATATTTTTTTTTCGACCCACCCTAATGTGCATATTATATTTCAGCCAAAGTTGTGGGTAGTATGTTATAAGCAATGGTTATTTTAATATTTCCAGAGGGGCAGGTTACTAAACTTTAAATTTATTTTACTTAATTACATTTTAATTGAAAATTAATTTTGTTAAAATCATTGCGTGCTTATCATCCAAAAAATACTTTTGAATGCTGTAACATTAGCAGGCCGAGCGCCTAGTAATGGATGGACACATAAATAATTTCTTACTTTTTTACGAAATAATTTTTAATGAATAACATTTATTCTCTGTAACAACGTACACATCATGCATGTTCATATGTATGCACTATAAAAGGAATATCTAAGGCCATCGATCTATTGATCGATCAATCATCTTCATTTATACATACATATATGAATCTGTAATTTGTATTAACCACATATGGCCAATCATTTCAAATCGTTTTGAATCACAAATTTAAAACAAATTATTGTTTAAATAAATTAATGTGTATGTGTATGTATGTACATATATGTGCATATATGTACATATATGCGTCTTTGTTGATTTATGCAGTATATAAATTAGTGTGTACGCTAAGTAATCAATCGTTGGCTTGTAATTTTCTCCAATCTACAGACGGAGCAAATACGACGCGCCAATCGCCTTTTTGCCTCGGACAGCTTGTTTTTGCGTCAATTTTTATTAATACCAGTGGATAAGTCGTCGCCATATTACCCGAAAATAGATGAAAATAATCCATTGGAAATTAGTTCCAACAACACTGAACTACAAAACAACAAAAACACAGAAAATGCCGTAAATAATGCGAATGCAACAGATGTACCAGCGATCTCAGCTGCGGATCCGCTTGGTGTATTCGCCGCATCAACTAGTAATTCAACAAATAATCCACGTCCATCCACGCTGCCAGCTCGTCCATATTCAATTGCCGGTGAATTATTAGTGCAAAACAGCGACGATGATGTAACGATGAACAATCACAGCAGCAGTACTAATAAACAGAGTAAATCGTTAGACTCTGTGGTGGCCATGACGCCTGACGAGGAAAATCGTAAATGCATAAATGAGTTTTTAAGTAAAATCGATTCAACCATATCCGAATCGCGAAAATATGTGGAAAGGTCTAAAGAGTGAGTTTTGTAATTACATGTTTGGAATTTTTAAACACTTTTTTTGCGTAGTGATGCAAAATACTGAAAGTTTATTGTTTTTCATTTAGATTTGATATTCTGTTTGAGTAATACAAATTGGCAATCGACATTCGCATGATGATTTGAGGTAAAGAGTACAGGAAGGCGAAGTAATCCCAAAAGTATGCTATTTCGAATTTTGTGCTAAAAGTAGTGCCACAAAAAATGGCTTGTAGTTTTGTTTAGATTTCCCATGCGGTTCATATATCAGATATTAAATGTAAAATTTGCGTAATATTTTGTGGTGAATGTGGTTTAAATGAGTCGAAGTCCAAGTAGTTAACGTCTTGGTATATTCTAACTCTTCCCAAGTACAGTATTTTTGCATCCCTATACTAAAAAAATGTATGATCAAATTTTAACATTGGGTTTACAAAAATCCAATCAATTATACATAGTAAATTTTTGATACACTGGTATCACAATTTTCCTTTGGCGCTGCACTTGCTAATATAAAGGTCATTTTTAATTGCAGGATGATTACTAGCCAGAGTGCCAACGATTTGTTCGTTACCACCGATTTCGTACAGCACAGACGTAACAATCACCTAAACAATTCATATAAAACGAATCATCAAAACCATCAGCGTCACAGCTCTTCAGGCAGCACTTCGGATACAGCTCAGCTACTGAATACTACACAAACGAGACATGTGCAAAAGTCGCTGAAACGACTGGAAAAGCAGCAGGATGAATTTTTCGAATTGTAGCATACAAGTAGAAGCTACATAAAAAGCAACCCTCTGAGTGCCGCTTATAGAAATTTTAATATTAGTTATGAAAAAAATTAAAAATTTGCAGTTGCAATAAGAAAGAACTATGAAAGCAAAGATAAATCAAAAAACAATGAGATATATGTATATGCCCCTATTAAGAGTAGAATGCAAATATTTTATACTATATACACACAAACAGCAGAAAGGAAAATTGTTTAAGTTGAACGCTCTGTTAAAAACTATTATTCAATACAAAAAAAAAAGACATCTTATTGAGTATATAAGAAATCAAATAAGGGAAATTTTAAAATTTATTAGCTATACTTTCTTTGCGAAAAATTGTAAAAATAAGTTCTCCCTTACACACATATGTATATATATATATGTATACACTGAAATGCTGTTACTTTTTGCACTTAAATATCAACACAGCCATGGGCAGTTTAACAAAAACCAAGAAAATATGATGAAATAGAAAATATTTAAATAATTTAAAAGTTTATTTTAAATAATGATTATAATCGTTTGTATGTAAGGTTTTGCCAAGATAGCGTGACGCAAATGAAATAAGTTTTAACGTTTTAGTGCATACGCATTTGTGTATGCAAACAACCGACATATATGTATATAATGTATTTATAAATTATCTATTTTTATTTAATATTTTGTATTTATTTTGCATTCGAAATTTTAGTTATAGTTTCAATCGCAGCTTTGAGTTTTTTTTTTGTTTTATTTCCGATCAATTAGTGGAAGAGTATTAAAATAACAAATTTTTATTTAGAAAAAAAAATCTTTTTTGTTTATTTTTTGTTTTATGGATTTTCCCCCACATTCTAGCTTCGGGTCTTTAATCTTAGTAATTTTATATTGGTGGAACCTGGTGGGTATATAAGGTACACTTTAATTAACATATTTTCCGACAGCATGCGATTTGATTACACAGTCAAATCAAAATATAGGCCAATAGTTAACTGCTTAGGAACAGAATTTTACATACACATATACAGAGCCGGCACATTAATTGTCGTTAATAGCATAATCGAAATTAACTAGTCGTCTAATAATAGTCTATCTACTACGATGTTTATTGACTGGTATAATTTTTCACTGCTGGGTTGTTAAAAATTATGTATGTTCATAAGTTAAAGAACACCATTTTAATTCAGGCTAAAACCTAAATAACTAGTAGGCTAAGTGAACACTACACGCTTCTTTCATTACCCATCATAATTACATGAAGGCATGTAGTAGGAATGGAAAATTTAATTTCCAAGTTGTACCCAATTTGAGGAGAATATTGTACGTAAAAGTAATACGGGTACGTTAAGCTCTGTTTCAACCAGAAAACCCTTCGAGGGCACACAAAATATTAGACTGCGCGAAACCAAGAATCCTTGGTTATTGGGGAATCATGACACTGTTGAAATCTGTACTTCAAAGTTTTAAACGATTTTTTTTTTATTCAGGAGCTAGCATAAACATCACATCTACCGCCATTTGGAGATCGACCAAAGCATAACTCTTGCCAACAGGTATTTTCGAGAGAACCTGGCCAAGCTCCGGTTTATTGGTCTAACTGGTTGGCATAACTGACCGAAGTTTGCGTAGGAGGAAAAAATTCCTGTAAAACTTATTTGGGAATATTCTAAATTTAAATGGTATCTTTTTATCGAATATACTTTCAAATTACGAAGGAGCGGAAAAAAGTACAATTGTACATATTTTTCCATCACTGGTATATAGTTATTTACCCTGCAAACCATTTTTCAGAGTATTCTGAATTGTAGAGAAATTTCAAAGAATTCGTAAAGATCTCATCCGATTTTTTGCCGAATTTTCTAAAAAATAAAATAACTGCGCACTTCGATTCTTTTACAAAGTTTCGATAAAAATCGGTAAAGCAATGAAACTAATGCTGCTATGTGAAGAATTTGTTGCAGAATTTTTCATCTTTCGTACGAAAATTTCTTTACGAGTTCGTGTCAATCACTTCGTGTAATTTTCTTTGAAGATTCGTAAAAAAATCGTTACAGGAATGAGATTTCGGGAACTTTGGTGTGCAGGTTACGTAAGAAAAATTATAAAGACGTGAGTATATACTTGAAGATTCTATTGCAAGCAGCAATATTCTAATTTATGATGAAATAAGGTAACTGTGTATAGGCAACAAAACGGAACGAATTCAAAGCATTAAAAATGATTTCGTCAGTTTGGAGACTACGCAATTGCCCAACCAATTTTTAATTATTATTTTTTTTTTTTAAATGGCTTGAGGCTTAACTCAATTTCAAAATGGTTTGTATTCAAATCCAGAAAATTAATAGGAACGTAGTTTAAGATTCACTTAGGCGACTTGGGTTTTTTGCCTATTCCAAGCAAAATATACATGTGTATACATACAGGGCCGTTGAGAGCCGGACCGGGCTGCAGGGAATATGTCTTCGGCGGGCCCCATATATTTAAATATTTTTTTACTAAATCCCTAGAGATTTTCTGGGGGTTTAATTAGTTTTAAATGCCATTTATATTTCACACACATAATTTAGTTGGTATTAAAGATTATTACAGTTAAACTAAAATATCGTAAATTTTGGTATAAGCCTTTGATGAAGTCAAATGCACCTTTAAAGAAAAAATATTAAAAACAAGTAAAAAAGTACAAGTTCTCGCGAACCTGAAATATGTGTATTAGCCCGGCGCACATATTATAAGTCATTTTTTCAACATTTTCAATAATATGCTCAATTAGACTTTGGGCCAGATTCACAGTGCTTAGTTAAACGACTGTTAACTTAACCACCAACAAGATTTTAACTTTGAATTTTTATTCAGAGTCAATAGTTAACTATAGAAATTCATATCGCCTGAAAATATACAAATTCTAAAAATCAATAATTTTCTATTCGAATTTGAAATTCGTTCCACAAAAAAAAATTTAATTTCACAAGAGTTTAACTATGGAAGCCTGCTGGTTTAAACTTTTGTTAACTGGGCGTTGTGAATATGAAACTATTAACTTAGAGTAATTCAGCATACATATTTAGTTATTGAAATATTGGAGTTTTCGTATTTCAAAAATTTTCAGCATACGGATATTAAATCGATTTTAAATGAAGTAGTCTCTTTAAACCATATTCACATTACAGCATAAATTACTTTATTTCAAACAAATTGACTTCACATAACTCAAGTGCGTTCAGATTTGCTTTCATAATTTCCAAAGATATGTGATTAGCACGTGTACTTACCAAGTGTGTGGTTAGCACTTGATTAAAAAAAAAATGTAGCATACCTTTAGGCAGTTTTTTGACATGTCCTTTATTTTCTTCTTTGGTTCTATATTTATGATAAATTATAGGCCCATAAATGTCTATAATGAAATATCGCCACACTCTTATGTGAATTTAATTAAAAAAAAATCTTATAGAAGGATGCTGCTTGATGCTTGCAAGGTTTCTTCGTTTAACTCCAGATATTAAAAAATATGAATGTTGATTCAAGTTTCTTGAAAGCAACAGTGATCTGTAGCTCGTTTCTGTAACTCTTCTCTACCGATTATATCTCTACTGGTAGAGAATATACGTCATTCTCCACTACTCATTAGCAGTAGAGAAGAGGGCGGCGAATTCATATCTCAATTCGCCTTGGTAGAGAATTGTTACAGAAACGAGCTACTGGTTATGTTTGCAAACAGGCAGTTCTAAAGAATGCTTGCTTGAACTGAGTCTCTGAATTAGAATCCAATAATGTTTAAGGTAACTCGCCAAAACTATGTTTTATGGTTTAGGCCGTTTTTCTCGGAACGTATTTAATGAGCCAACACTTTGGCACGGATTTCTCAAAAATTGGGACCTTCAAGTAAACTCTTTTTGTTGGCAACTCTACATGTCACAACGATAACACTGTAACCACAATCTCAAGTTTTGAAATCACACACAAAAAACGCCGAAACACGTGAACTTAAGATTGGGTCGTAGATTACAGATCAGGTAATTTGCCCAAGATATTTTCGTTTTTATGAAAAAAATCGAATTTGAACAAGGAAAAAATTAAAAAAATAAATCTTTTTTAATTGTTTTAAATTAGTATTAAAGCCTGTTATTTTGCCAAAAAATCAAGCTACTAGCGAGGGAAATCGATGGATAAAAAATATTTAAACAAGTTTTGAATGGTTAAATGACAATTTGCTATAAATTTTTGTATGAAATAAGGCCCGGTAATAATGTTACTCATACGCCACATCGTAAATAGGAGTATTCATGCATACACCTGCATGGCGTATGAGTAACATTTTCCATGTTAAAGTTTAACTTTTTGTTCATTCGCAATGCAAATCTAAAAATAAAATATCTTGGGAAAATGACCTGCTTTAGAAAAATGGTATACAGATCCGCAATCTACGACCCAAAATTAAATTTACGTGTCTCAGTTTTTTGTGTGTGGTTTTAGCGTCCCTACAGTGTAATTCATTAGCGCCGAATACCAATAAATACGTTCAAACAATTCCATGTACCGTTTTTATACCTTTCAAAAAATCGTTGCCAAGTCCCCTGACATTCAATGGGGCCAGGGCTAAATAACCCCCTAACCCACGTTACTCTCGGCGGGCCTGTATACATACAGTTTCAACAACTGGCTACTCTTTTTCAATCAGAAAAACTACATAATACATATTGTAGGGATCAGTATATGTAAGATTCTTCCACGTCTAAAATATTTCCTTCGTATTTATGAATATTTATTAACCCTCTGCATTTATACGGTTACACTTTTTATTTAAATTTTTATATAAAAATATTTTTTAATGGGGCTCTCTCGTGAAATGGCAAAATAAGTTAAACTAATTTCGATTTATGCACAAAATTTGTCTTTTTTTTGTTTTTTTACTTCATACTCTTCCTAAAATCTTCCATCGCTTGCCTTGAACTGATTTATTCATTTTATCGTCTGAATAGTAGCGTAGATATCAAGAAGATTGATTTTTCAAGGCGATCAGTTCCTTTAAATAACAATTCCACGGAGTAAAATCACAAAAGTCCAGTTTTCTACGTCTGCAGCATCATCACAACACTTATTCTGTAACCGACCAGGCTTTACTCTCATCTAACTTATTATCAATTATTTGCCGTGACGACGAAATCAATAAAACTTTCCGAATGTTTGTGAAGAGGAATCACTTATCTTTGTTTCTTCTCCTAAACGAGTTTTAAAAAAAGCATAAAATGGAAAAAGCACATAGAATATGGTTTCGAAATTGGCTGAAGAGTTTTGTAATACAATCATCTACTAAGACTTCATACTTTTCTTTGTTTTAATAAAAACTACATTTTCTCTATCATTTAAAACTCTATTTACATAACTTATATGGTTCCTCTACTCGTGTACCTTAATTATGTAAAACGATTTAGATAGCAAGAAAGTTGAATAATGTATTTTAGGTATGTATAAAGAGGCTTATGGTAATTTGTGGACTAAATAAAATTCGCACCGTTAAAAATGAAACTTAAAGTTTAGTTTGAGTATTTAAGCGAAGATTTTAGAAATCAGAGCCCGAATCACGGCATTCGTGAACGAATAAAACTCCATTCGAATCGAATGAAATTAAATGGCAGCTGTTTTCTCTCTAATGCAATTTAAATGGAACAAGTGAACTCGTTTTAGAATGCTAAAATCTAAAAAAGAAATTTCGTACCGAATTTCATTCGATCACGGATGACATGATTCGGCCCCAGCTTTGAGCTATCGTCTCTATCAAGAGGTAAGTATTTTTGTAAGAACAACCCTAATTTGGATATACCGTCCCACCTCGGAAAAGAAACATAAGTAATAAATGGCGAACAAAGTTTACTTAGTTTTTATTAAGAAAGAGTAAATTCTCGCTATACATACTTTTCAGCGAAAAAAACTTTGACGGAGTTCGCACTTCTGTATATTCGTTGCATAGCTTAGTACCCAGCTCTTAAGAAAACAGCCAAGAAAAAAATTGCCATTGTTTAGTGTGTGTCCAAGGAATTTTGACATCTGATATTTCACAACCTGTTGCTTTATTCTTTTCTCCAGAAATAATGGAACGGGCATATATTTCCGTTGCAGGGATGGGTTGCCTTTGCTCTTTTTTTACTAAAAACTTTAGAAAACCGTAGTAGAAAGCGTAGCAAATTTCTGCGTACTGCCTTAAGGAAATTTGATACAAGACAATAGAGCTGGAAAACTATCGATGACACTATCGATAGTATCGATGGTTTTTGACAATCGAAAACATCGATGGTTTTGTAAGCAATATCGATATTTTTCACTCATTCATACATACATATATACAGATGCTGCATGAAGTCAAAAATTGTTGATAAACTTTTGTTTTTATTAGTAAAAGTATCGACATATTTTAGTACTTCTGGTCTCATTTTCAATAAAAGTTGTTATGTTAAATGTTTGGACATTTTTAATCAAAACTATCGATAGTACCATCGATAGTGTCGCCATTTCTGATAGCATCGATACTATCGATGGTTGTGACTATCGACTATCGAAACTATCGATGGCCACGACCATCGCGGTGACAGACAAATTCATTAAATTGTTCTCTGTTGTCCCCTCTCTTTCTTCGTCAAAACTTCAAGTCAAAGTCAACATTTTCTCAGTTATATTACCACGAGATAGTATATGTAATAATTTTGATCAGAGATGTTGCCATTTTTTACCTTTGACAGTTTTAATTTTATTGCGGATGCTGGCAGAATGGCCCTTGTTAACAATATTATTTCCGCAACTTAATTTGAAAATCGAGGAATCTTCTAGAAATAGGCGTGGCAATTTTAGGACCAAAGTTAAGGAGTTTAGATTTTGTTGTGGACTTTGGCAGAATATCTATTCACTAACAAATGTTTGTTCCGGATTTCTTTTTTGGAAGAGAATGAAGTCGCATTTTGAAGTTATTGCAAATGCGTATTCAAACGAATGTTTTTCTAACAAGCTACAATGCATGAAGAAAGGGGTAACCCGGCTAGCCATTTCTGCATAATTAAATTACTTCTTTCATTATGACGTTTTCTGGAAAAATACCCATATTTTATAGATACATAGTACCTAATATGTACACCAGGGTGGTCCTTAAAAATATACGATATTTTCAGTCTCAACCCCTCAATCGGTAATACCACGGTCACATATATCACATATAACTTTTGGCCCCGAATAGAGACGATTAAAGGCCAGTATGCAGGTCTCAAGAAAAGCAAAAACTCTATATAAAATGGCGTACACGAAATGGCTAAGAAATTTTCTTGTGTAAATTTTCTTTAGGCAGTACGCAGTTCTTAAGAAATTTGCTCCGTCGCAAAGGAGTCAAAGGCCAGATGGATTTAAAAATTTAAAAATATTTTGGTTTTTTTATTTAATGCCCAAAATCGATACTACTTAAGACGTGAATACAACATACAAATTTCGGTCCCGATTGGAGTCGGTTAAGATGTCCTCATATGGTAATCTGAACTTTGACCGCTGTGCGACACGCCTTAACCGACTTAAATCGGGACCTAAATTTATATGTGATATCTTCGACTATAGTAGCATCGACGTAAAGGCTAAGGCCTGGAAAATCTGATGTAAAAATTTGCTTCCTACATTTAAGGACCACCCTAATGTACATACTTTTATACATAGTTATATGTTTATGCATGAAAACGAGTATAACCCAACATTCTCGTGACAAATTTACTTCAACAAAGTTGGTGTGTATAAGATTTGTCACTTTGTTAATCAATTATATTTAATGTTATTGCTGTTTATTTGTTAGTATATCGTAAATATTTACACAATCGTCACACAAAAACTAATAAATATATATCAACATATTGACTCTTTTAATTAAGCTTGTTACTCATTGGAAATGCCCAGCTCATGGACAGGTTAGTACAATACATTACCCGAGCCGTATTAAAATGTTAAAGAAAATGTATATTATATACTACATACATATGAATGTGTATCTAAGTTCATACATATGTATATCACCATAATTTGGAGAATAAACAATTATAGGAATGATTGTTCGAAATCGAGCTGTTTCCATGCTGCAAAAAGGAAAACAAAAAAAAAAACAAAACAGAGCTAGAGTCCGACTGATTAATCGGCAACGGCATCGGCTGATTCTTAGCCGATTCTTTTTACTTTTTTCGCACTTCATTCCATGTTATTTATTTTTTACTTTTTTAAAGCCCCTTAAAAGCCTAAAATATTAATACATCTGAGTCCTCCTGTGACAAAAGTGTTCTCATGTTTCGTTTTTATAATGTACGGTGGCGAGCATGTGAATAGGAAAGACACATTTTGCAAGTTTTGGCTTTTTTCTTTGTTTAAAAAATTGGTATTATTTTTTTATGAAAATAAAGCTTACTATCTAAACAAAACCCTGTAAATCAAAATTTCAGACTTTGTAGAACATTTATAAAAATTCGACAAATTTTAAAAAATTTTCATCAAAGTTTAGTATAATGAAGGACTTATCGTGGATTTTGACAATTTTTTGTTCACGCATTTAAATAGGTGACAACCCTACTAAAAAAACTTAAAGTTTTTGTACACGCGAAGGCCATGCACTTTCATTTGGTGTCTAATTTTTTATCCAACGAACGGTGAAGATCTTATAGTTTTTAAGCAGGTAATAGGCAACCTTACTCAAACAAATAATACATTATTACACATCCAGAGGCTAAGTCTTTTCATTTGAGAGTGACGGTGCAGAACAGACGCCTTCGCTTATTAGAATTGATTATGGTAATTTTCTTAACATGTGGCAACCCTATTCAAATTTTAAATTAACAAGGTCACTCGCCTATCGATACAAAATATATTAGAAAAAATCTCGTCAAAATCCGTTCAGTAGCTTTCGAGATTACCGCGAACAAAAAATCTCCACTTTCCTTTATAATATGTATAGATTGTATTGAAAACATATTTATAAGTCAGCAGAAGCTGCATATTTTTACTACTATGAGTACAACTAGGAAATGTAATTTTGGATGAACTGTTTATTTTACATAGAATAAGAAAAAAGACTATTCAATAAAGTATTGCAATGCTATGTATAAGCGATAAACAATTTTTTTAGAACATATTTATGTATGTACACAAATAAGTGAATAGATTCTTGGATGATTACTCTTTTTGTAATGTTATTTAGTTACTTGTCTATGTTTTTCTTTTGTTATTATTATAGTTTATTAAAAGCATTTGTTCTTGAATGAATTTGTTTATGAGGCCATGGGAACAGAAGTAGCCTAAACCCACAATTTTTTATTTTTGTTTGTACCTAACTTCTCAAAATAGTTTCAAATGCAATAAATTTTGCAGTAAAGGTCGCATATTCCTTAATTTGATGGTGCTTTATGTAGCTCTGTTCCTTAAAATTAAGAAATCATCGACTTTAATTTTAAAATGGATCACATTTGAGACCATTTTAAGTAGGCAAGTACTAAAAGTACTAAAGTACATGGCCTCATTTATGTATGTATGTTTGCTTTCTAAGGAATTTGCATCGGCATCAGCCAAAAATTGGGAATCAGCCGGCCTCAAAACAGAGCACATCATTTATCCACATCAGCGAAGGTTATTGCAGACTCTTGTCCATTGATTTATTTATATGCAGCTGTTAAAAAATACATCCTTTCGTCCTGTTTTTAGAATCCCAGTGCCAGGTGGCAGTTTCTTTCGAAAAGAAATAACAAGCAAATTTTAAAACCAATCCAATTTACCCGAAATGAAATAGGATAATTGTGTATATGTATGAGTAAAGGCCGTCGAAGCCGCTGTTCCTGCTGATTCGTTTTGGCACATTGACTTCCAAAACCCATACCTAAGACATCGTTTTTATACTCGCATTTACATTTATTTTACAACTTTAATGTATAACTTTATTGTCCTGCAAGCATTTTATAAATTTTTTCTGAGTTTTGTAATATTTTGCTACGACTCGTATCGATCATTTCCATAAACTCTTTCGTATTAGCTTCGATTTGTACAAGTTGATTTTTCATGGGTTCCGTTGCGGACTCGGTAAGGCTGCAAAAGCGAAAATTAAGTTAACATAATAAAAAGTTAATTTAGTAAATGGCAAGTTTAGTATGTATAAATACATATATAAATATGTATATTCATTTGTAAATATGTATGTATGTATCTATCATTTAAGTAATCCATACCTTTTTTCACGCCTAAGGTCGTTGGCTACTTGTGTGTATGTGTCTCGCCACATAGTTAATTCCAATTGCATAGCATCGATATCTTCTGGTATGAAATCCATTAATTTACCAAACGGATTTACCGACTTAGTCAAATTTTGAATGACATCGCGCAAATTATTCATTTGCCGTGCAGAGCTTTGGCGCCCAATCGAATTGGTGGTTAGGTCCACATCCTGAAAGAGCGATATATATATTTTTTATTTTTGCCACAGTACGTATTTTTTCTTTAAAGAGGATGACTCAAATTTTTTCCGAAAAATATTTTTTTGTCTCAAGAGAGCCCAGAGTGAGGGCTCAAGTGACGGGGGAAGTTTCAGGGCCCTATAGCAATTACCTGTAGATTGAACGTCATACGTTTCCTTTTATTATCGATATAAGGTTTGTAAATAAGTTCGTTAAATTTAAAAATTTATGAGCACGAGTGATTTTTTTATGGAAAAGGAAAGTAAATAGTTGTGGATATAATTAATTCAGTTAATTCCAATGAGTTTAACGGTACACGGCTGAGAAATAATTGTATTAGCAATCGGAATGCAATTGCAACCAGAGTCGATTTAAGAAACCCGATAACTAGTATGTTAAAGAAATTGAAATGTATGTTAAAGAAAGTCAGAACAACAAGAAATATACATGTATATCCTGTTTTTGTCGATCTGAAAGAATTTTAAAAATTCTATAAAATTTATTGTTTGAAATGCAAGCGGGAACACCAGCTGGCAAGGAAACTTGCAAATTCCTGCAAATTTGCAAGTTTCTCAACTTGGGAGAGGATTTTTTCTTATTCTCTGTTATTTTGAGTGTTGTATAATAAAATATTCAGTACTGGGCCGAAAAACCTTAAACTTACAATGTTACAATGCTGACCGTTTAAACAATGTAAAAAAAGCTATGAAAATCAGTCTCGTAAATTTTGAAGAAATATGAGCCTATAGTGATTTTTTCATATTCAAAACATAGTTACGTTAATAATAATATAACCTTAAATTAAGATTATATTACTGGAAGGATTTTGCGTTTTGCGAATTGCGTTCGCGAAGTAAATCCTTATCTAAATTTAGAATAATCAGATGAACGAGTCCATATTCTTACATGCAAACACAAAGCGGTTTTGGATCAATTTAAATTTTGAAAATTATACTTCGCTAGGTCAATTCGTTACCATCATCGACGGCTACAAGTGAAGAATCATTTCCGCTTTGGCGAACGTAGAATGCACTTCCCACCTCGGCCATCGAAGCCATCATTTGAAACTGCTCAGCAATGATTGGAAGGCATCGAAGGGTGCAGGGGGCAAAACTCATGTTTGGCCTTAAGTTCGGAAGTTCTATCTATTTTATTTTTTTTTTTGCCCTCAATGAGCGGACTGGAGAGGATGAAATGCTGTCATCGTGATCGGAACTATGCAGAAGCTTCAAGTCTCTAGCTTTTCGGCAAGTTAATTTGAAATCGATTGAAAATTAAAAAAATATATAAGTACACATGTTAAGCTAGGGATACGTCGCATTTTATAATGTTTTTCATAAAGCCCTTTGCAACCCCAGAAAAACTAAAGAATTTGAGCATGATGTTTTGCAAAACAAAAATAATTCTAATAACAAATTTTATAACAAAGCTTTCTTAGATATTTAGAATTTTGAAACAATTAATTTTGTCGTGATCTTCATGTGGGGCCCCCACATCTATGATCCATCGGCCCATGCTTTAATCCGGCCCTGGTAGGACCCCAGGTTTGTTAACATTCAGTTAAAACTTAATTTATTAAGACCACATAACATTTAATGAAAGGTATTCGAGTTCGGGTGGAGCTATTTTCGCCTGTCTGTGAACTCATCTATGAAAGTAGATGGGCCTGAAAAACTGCATAATCAAAAAAAATAAATCTGACAAATTTGTGCATACATGTAAATTCATACATATGAATCTCTTACCTTTTCATTCTTCCCAATGGAATTAGTTCCTTTTTGCTGTTGCATTAACTCCTTTTGCGTCTCTAGTATTTGTTGTACCAAATGTCCTTGTTGTTCTGCATTATTTTCAACTCCACTCTCTTCACCCCTATTTACTTCTTCGACTGACTCCACTATGTTTACAGTATTTGCATCCTCTATGACAACCAAATTTTCGCCATCGTCATCCAAGTCGCCAAAGCTCTCCAATTTTACATTGATACCCGACAGTTTCACTTGATCATTAGGCTGTAACACAATCTCTATATTACGATCACGTCTCCGAGGTGCACCAGGACGTGCCGACGCCGGCCGGGCGCTTGGTGGGCGTAACGAAGTGCGAGGTCGATTTGCAAAATTACTGGCGTTACTGTCATGCGAATTTTCTCGAGTGAATGTATGCTCGCGTCTGACCTCTGTAGGTGTAGGCGGAACGGCGGTGGGAGGGGGTGCTGCTGACTGATTTGGACTTTGTGGCTTTATATTTGTGTTCGAATTTTGGAATTGCATTGAATTTGATTTTTGTTGCTGTAAAATTGATTTCTGTACTAGCTCTGGCATCTCTTGATGTGACAATTCGTTGTTTTGCATTGTTCCATTTGATGTTTTCAGCAGTGAAATCGTGTCGTTGATATTATCATTTCCGTCCTTCATTCCATTCGTCAATGTCTTATGGTCGTCTCTTGCCACCACATTGACGCTTGACCGACGGCTGCTTCCTGATGACCTTCTATGTCTTGCCGAAGACTTGCGACTTTCGACATCATTGGATGTTCTTATAGATTGTTTGAGAATATCTACTGAAGGATCATTCTCCAATAAGATTTCGGATCCCATTACATTTGGTTCCAATGTTTTGCTATTTCGTCGCTGATTTTCAATAGGGTTACTTTTATTTGCCATTTCTGATGGCTCTTTTTCCATCTTCAGTTCCAGCGCAATACTATCATCCTTTGTTGTCATGTGCAGCTCGTTGTCTGTCAAAGACACAGTTTCCGCTTCTTTAGGTACATCATTTTTTATTGGCGAAGGAGTCTTCTCTTTAGAGCCAGTTCTGCTTTTTAAAAGTTTGGGTTTCTCTGTAGGCTTTTCACTTCTCTTGCCAGCTTTTTCGTTGGGGTCTTTAGAAATCTGGTCTTTCGCCGTTTTACCAGGTTTCTCTTTTTCTCTCTCTTCAACATGCTTCTTTGATGGTTTCTCAGCTTTTGTCGGGGGTGAGATGGACTTAACGACTTTTTTGGTCGCGTCTTTAGTTTTTACATCTTTAACTCTATTTTCCTTGTCTTTGTATTTTTCGTTTGCTTTGTCTTTATTCTTTTTCTCATTTTGTTTATCATGTACCTTTGACTTTGTGCCGCTTGTCGGAACCCCCAGTCCCTTGCTGTTAACAACTTGTTCGACAGCACTTTTCCAATCTAATTTCTTTTCAATAACTTCTCCCATTAATTGTAATAGTTCGTTGGTCTTCTCTGGCTCTTGTCCGGCAACTATTTTTGAGGTCCGTACAGTTACATTTTGATTGGATATGATTTCTGAAAACAATTAATTGGAAATAGAGTACAAAAATTAGTTTTTAATAAATAAGTGAATACATATACATGCTGCCAAGTTTTTAGCTGAGCGTTTCTTCCAATTATTGATGTTTACTGCGTACCGCCGCTCGGTAGGACCCTGCTTGATAGCTTAGTATTAAAAACTGGAGAAATAGCAGGACTCCAGAAATAGCCCCCATTTTTCTTTTTCAAAATGCACATTTTGCTCCTAGAAAAGTAGGTCGGTTTGACCGCCCTGCACAGGACCTTGAAGGCGACAGAGAAAATCTTTATACATAAAGTGCTCAGCGTAGGGTAAACAGGGGCACGCACCAGGGGAGGTATTATCTCACCACTGCTTTAGCTTATGGTCTTTAACGGACTGATAAAGATGCTGGTGAGTAGCGGCTGTCCGATGAAAGCCCACGTGGACGACGTTGCACCTTTAATGAGGCGTAAATTTCTGGGTACCTTTTATATTCAAGGGTACTTGAACCTGGTGACTAAATGCTCTGCGAACAGTAAACACACAGCAAATCCTAATAATACTGATACCGATACCGGCACAGCGGGTCGCCCTTATTGAAATCAGTGGCACTTAACGCCCGTTGACTGCGTAGGTAAGGCCCCTGTACCTAGGGCTGCGGTCAAACTTAGAGACACCGGGTGTTTAACTAAATCAGGATATGGACACTTTAGAAGTCATGGAATTATCGCCTTTATCTCTGTTAACACGGATCATCGCATGGCTAGACTGGCTATTTGGCGCAGATATATGGCGCATAAGAAAGCACAATGAAAACATCTCATGAGACGGCTTTTGGAGTTTTGGGGAAGGATTCTGCAGAAGATCAACGGGCCGACGACATAAACATAGTGCGGCGGATTAAAATACTGCGGCTACGCTGGCTTGGCTATGTCATACGAATGGATGGAAACGCTCCAGCTGTGAAACTACATATACTATATACAATGCGGGTCGCTATGCTGGTAGCAGGGGAAGAGCAAGGCCCCTTTTGCGATGAAAAGGCCAGGTGGAGAAGGACTTGGCTCACTTGGCATTTCTAAATGGCGTGGACTCGGCCAGAAACTCGTAGGCGGTTGCAGCGTCAATTAAAAGGACGGTGAAGTTCTTAACAGATATGTCGATGCCATGGCGTATCAACTGCATGTGGTAGCGATAGAAGCCATACTTCTTATGAGATCGGTTATGTCAAATTGGCGACTGTTTTGCTTTGTTTACATATAAAAAAAAAATTAAAAAAATTAAAAAAACTCAGAGCGTGTAGTCCCAACGCGCGGAAGAAGTGAAACTTAATAGAGGAAATGCCAGAAAGAACGAAATGTGCGATATAAATACACATGTAAATATTTTCTAATATACAAGAAAGATATTTATTTCAAATTTTTTTTTAACGACCTTTAATTTTTTAATTTTATAACCAACTGCAATTTTACCTAGTAGATTGTGGTAACTAACTTAAGATATGAAAAGTTTTATTTCAATATTATTAATATTACTGGTAGCCGCTCCTTTGGTTGTTGAATTATTTCTACTATTACCCATTTCCAGTGAAAACCTTTAAAAAACTAAAATCATATTACACATCTAAAGGTCAAGTCCTTTCATTTGACATCCCATCTTTTAAAATCGAACGAACGATACAGATTTTATGACTTGGTGTGGAATATTTAACGCGACCCTCTGTGGCAGAGAAATTTCGAACTCGATTTTCTAGCATGTGACCACTCCTTTCATGGAACTAAAGCCTTTCATGGCCGAAGGACAAGGCCTTTCATGTGACACCTCATACAGATACAGATTTTATGACTTTGTGTTAAATATTTAACGCAACCATCTCCGAACTCGTGTAAGAAGTTTCACTTAAAAAAAATAATAATAATAAAAATTACTACAATCAATTCAAGAACCCACTCAAAAACATAGGTCCAGCCGCTTAGGACGAGCTAAGTGATATACACACCCACCCTGGTGTTGTTAAACTGATCCGCCATTTGAATTTTGTAAATCTGATTTTCCGATTCGTAATCAAAGACCTTAAGAACCGTTGATTGTAAAGTTTTAAGCGATTTAAATTTTTTCGCCGTATTGGGTTCGCTATTTTGAATTTTTCCAACCTGACCTTAGATTCGTAATAAGCTGTCCCAAGAACCCCAGAGTGAAACTTTTCAAGCGAATCGGATCGACTTTAAATTTTTGGCCGCCATATTGGGTTCGCAATTATGAATTTTTAAAATCATGCTCTAGGTTCGTAATCAGCAACCTCAAAAATATAAAAACCTGCTGTTACTTTTTCTTTTTTAGTGTTGGGTTCTCCGGTGGTAAAAAAGTTGTAAAGCAAAATCTAATTTACGGTTAGTTTAGACGCCATATTTGAGACGCCATGTTGAATTTTTGAAAAGACCACACTTAATCTTTGTAATCCGTCCTATAAAGTTTTGGCCATCGTAGTGTACCGATTGACGTTATATGGAATTAATTTTACCCCGCATCCCTTACATCGCAACGTTTGGCACGTTTCCGGTCGTGATCTAAGCGTCGTACAAAAAAAATGTACGTATAAAAGTTGTAGAGAATGAATATGACATGTATTTTCAACAGAAATTGTCGAAAACTGGAGAAAACTGTGACAATGTAAAGTTTTTCGCGGTTTTGGCTAATTATTTACAAAAAAAAAAATTAACCTTCTATATAACAAACGTGGTAAATTAAATTCTCTACAAATTTTAATTGAACCCCTTTTTACGAAAATCTCAAAAACCCCAAACAACTAAAATCCAAGATGGCAGAATGTTGCCAAATGAAATTTTGGGGCAAGACCGTGGATCCATGTCATCTACGTGTCAAATAGAAGTAAACTGAATCAAAAACTCGCTGTTACAATTTTTTTTTGAGAAGAGGGCTATTTTTACTGGGCTAATGAATATAAAAAATTTTCTTCTTAGAAGGAAACGCAACATACCATTCTAATATTCTTTGAATTAAAAATCAGTACGAAGTAGAAATATGTAAGTACCAAGCAGAACCGTTTCCAAACAAATACATAACAACAATAAGATCCCTACATTACATATTTTACTTTAATGACCGAATGAAGTGAGATAGGGCGTTTTCGAACCGAATTCTGAGTTAGGGCGTTCTTCAATCAAATTCTAAGATAGGCAGTTCTTCAACCAAATTCTCAAATAGGGCGTTCTTGAGCATTTTTTTTTGAAATAGGGCGAACTGGCTGCCGAGATATGTAGGTCGATCTTCCACTCAGCAGTCGATATAGTGTATCACTATGACATCTACTTTGCCAATTACCTTCTAGGTCAATCAAAACTAATAGCAACTCTATCGTTAGCTGTTTACTTACTTATGACATCAATCATTTTCTGTAAAAATTTCATCTTATCATCGCGATCTTTGATGTTATCTGAGTTTAACTCCTCTGGCGTGTACAAACCAACAAAACAACCAGTTTCTTTAATGACCTATTAAGCATAAAAATTATATAGGTCAATTAGTTCAAATTACGAGTACAGGTGTGCAAGTATGTTTACCAACTTCAACAAATAACTTACGGCATTAAAAACATCGTGTAGAAAGCGAAAAGGTGGTTTCGTCAATAACTTCTCCGTTAAGGGAGGCCTCTTCACGTATTTCCCCAACGTTTGCTGGGTACGTTTTATCACAGATGAGTCCAAATCACCCATTTTTGTGAATGAGCTTATTTTTGATTATTGTTTAATTGTGCCCCCTTTTCTAATAATTTTGCTGAACCAATTAAACGGTTAGCGATTCACTAATAACAAGCACATTTTCATTGCTTGGATGAATTCAACACATATGATGAGTTTTGTTATGGACATTCGTTGGCTTGGTTACTCATACATACTTTCACTTTTCGTAGCATGGATTTTATGGTGATGCCAATAATTGATTTAATTGTTGTGCGAATTCCTTAACTTTTTTCTTTCATATTGAAGTATTCTTATAAAGAATTTATGTATATGGGTCATTCCATACAATATTTACACCTCAATATTGCTTTGGGGTGAAATATATTTTTTTACATTCTTTATCGAAAAAAAGAAGACACCTATTATTTTATTTCGTCATGAAATTCGAAAATCTCGAAAAAAATTCCCGAAATTTTTGAAGTAACGGAGAAGTATCTTTATTTAATTGTTTGCAGTTAATAAACTATTTGTCGGAGAAAATCAGTAAAGGTATCAAAATGTGCGGAATTACCTCAGCTTTCCCTGAGAGTGTGAGTTAGATTAAAATAAAAAATGTTTGCATTAAAAACTCGCATTTTTTTATTTTTTATGAACTTTATCATGTTTCATTTTTTTTTTTACCTGAATAGTTGTCAAATCTTATGGAGTACGCTGTAAAAATTTGAGAATGGAAACACCAAAACTGTAGAAGTTACGAGTTTTTTCATACCTGCGTACATATATACCAGGGACATGAACCCGATGAAAAATTTGGTCGGTTCGGTTCAGCGGTTTGAACCGTTTTTGCACCCTTGGATTGGTTCGTCAAAGCGGTTTTTTTGGTCTTTGAATCGGGGTTTCGGTTCGGTTCAACGGTTTAAGTGTCAAGTGTCAAGTGCAACAACGCGCAAGGTTAAGGGGTCTGTCAAATGACATGGGTAGGCAACTCATTGATATTCTCACATGGTAAACAAGCAAGTTTAACAAAAAGAAAAAATAGTGGGTACATTTATCTATTGAAAATTGGTAGAAACGAACCTTTAAACCTTTATGGAAAGTGGTTCGGTTTTCAGTTCGGATCAAACATTTGTGGAAAATTTCGGTTCGGTTAACAGTTCAGTTATTTAATAGAAAAATGCGGTTTTCCGGTTCAAAACCGGTTCGGTGCAAAACCGGTTCACGCCCCTGCTTTTAACACTTTCAATGATTCTACTTTAATTCCATACAATATTAAAAACAATATCCCCGTCTGAGATCAAATCCCGGGTTGTATGAGAGTGTGTAGCGAGACACTGCAACTGCTGTAGGTCCTGGCCCACAAAAGCATACAGGGCATCGAGGAGGCTGGCAGACCAGCTAGAGAAGCAGCAGCCCTCGACCTATAGTACCAGAACCTTTTCTCGCAGTACTACCTCATAACCTTAGGTAAGAGTTAAGAGCAGAACAACGTCAGCTAAGTTGAGCACATTGAGAGAACACGACAGGACTAAGGCAGGCGAAACAATTTTTTATGAGTTAAAAACCGAAATTTCTTGGAAACTATTAGCACTTAAAACACAAGCCTGGGATTTATAACGGGTTTGCTTAAGGGTCACTGCAGACTCTAGGCCCATATGAACCCCGGGGCATTAGTGCAGACGACTCCTGTCGGCTGCGACATGGCAACAGAAACCCCACTGCATCTCCCTTTTGAATGCGATGCGCTTGAGAGAAGCAGACTTACACACCTGGGAGGATTGTTGCCAGGGGTCACGCATATTCAATCTCTGCCGCTTTTCAAACTGCTTGGTTCCATCAAGGCACTAGGGCTGGACGAGGTATTATGATGGGCTCTAAGGGCACAATAGACCCAAGGTCGTAGTGCACATCCTACTATCAGTTCTATCTATGATCCACACTTTTGTCTAACATACTTTCATGATCTTTATAATAAAATTCATAATTTACCAGTTAAAATTGGATTTCTACGTTTCGGGCTAAATTTAACTTTATTTTATGTTTTTTTTACTTTTTCAGTCAACAATAATAGCATTTTTTGGGTTTTAATTTATTCGGTCAACTTTTGATTTTTATTTGTGTATTTTTCAATCATACTATTACCGTTATTTTCAGACTTAATTTTTTATATCATAAGATTTAAGCAGTACCTAAAGGTTTAATATCTCCGTAATTAAAATCAATAATCTCACAAGTCTGGAAGCTAGCTCTACTATAATGTACCATTTGCTTTTTTATTTAAGCTACTAAAATATTTTGGTGAGGTTTCATGAGAATATTGGAAGAGTTTCTGGCATCAAAACTACCATTTTCACATGCGCAAGCACACACTTGAATTGAGCATTATACTGGCTTAAACGGTTGTTGGTTGAAAAACGGGCTAGTTGCACACTCAAAAGAAAGAAAGATTACAACATTGATTTATATGTAAGTATGTATGTGGTTTTGGTTGTTTAATGTTTCAGACTGAAGTCGAAATAAAGACGATTTAAAACAACAAAAACAGTTTGTTTTATTTCAACACGACCCACAGTGTTTCGACTATATGGAGACAGGTAGAAAAAAGTCATGGTGAGGGTTGGTAAAAGAAACCGGTTTGACTTAGAGAGGGAATAGTAAAAGTCATAAGTAACAAATTTTACATTATTTACTCACCCCCCCTTCTTCACGAACGATATATTTCCAAAAAAATACGATGCGCGATACCGACTAATCAGTTTAGTTGCATTTGGCGCTGAACCCATTACAGAAAGTGTTCCCTTTTCAACTGTAATTAATTATCTAAATGTCGTGGATATTCAGGTGAAGGTATTTATCATTTATTTGGTATTTTCCTATTTTCTTACCAAAAAATTTACTTTGAAATGTAGATGCTAAAGATTATTAGTAAAAAAAAAATGTGAGTACCGGTCCGTCAGGTCTTGAAATTAGACTAATATATTAAAGAATTGTATGTAGTTTTCGAATATATAATTGGATCTTTGCGCGCGACTTTGCAAATATATGTAATTTTGGATTTTTAGCTTCTTTTTGAATAATTTAGCGAAAAGAATTGTTGGACAATGAAAAAATCCCACCAGATATTGGGAAAAAAGCGAGTATTGACACCTAAGTCATTTTATTGTATAATCTTTGTTTTCTGAGAGTGGAAAGCAGGAAACAAAAATTACCCAAAATTCCATCACATTTAATGACTGGGCCCACATTTTTTGTGAGTTTTGAACGTTATAGTAATCCAGTCTTCGCCATATTTTATATTTAGGTTTTTCTAATAAAATAAAGACTACAAACTAAATTTCATCGAAATCGGATGAAATTTAATGTTTCCGCCCACAAGAGTAGAGGGCGTGGCAATTATTCCATCTTTACAAAATTTCATAATTCTCTATTTCTAAGTAAAACTAGAGCACATGTCAAGTTTAAGTGAAATCGGTGCAGGTGTACTATTATTTCCACCTGCCTCCATATAGTCGAAACACTGTGCGACCTTGAGCTCAAAAAAATCAACATAATCTTTTATTTATTTTATTTATTTATTTGTTACAGTCATCTGACCAATGCATCCAATGGGCGGTTGGAAAGGACTAGTTTCAAAGCTGCCTCTTACAGACTTCTCTACAGGCAGGTGATCTGAATGGACGAGATCCAGAGTCGCGCTGTTTAATCGGAAGGAAAGGACTAGTTTCCATGCCGAACCTTTCTATTTCACACATTATGAGCGACCTGAATAGACGAAAAACAGAGTAAGCCCGCTAGAAGGGATGGAAAGGACTAGTTTCCATGCCGGACCTTCCTATTTAATATCCAATGTTCTGCAGTGATAAAGTAGCAACCTTTTGAAGGTACCAACGTTTTCACAATTGTTTAAGTGAAACACGGTTGGTTGGTTGGGAGTAAACTGGCAAATTCAACGGAAATTGCACACGGAAATGATGCAACGGAAATGGTGCAAAGTAGATGGTTGGGGCTGGAACAAGTGCTTCTTGAGTGTATGCACATGGTATTGATATAACAAAATCTTGCTAATAAAAGGTTAAAGAATAACACCTAGAAAAAGACCAATGCAAGAATGAAAGTAAAGATGAGCACGTACATAGATAAAGAAAATGATAAAGGCAAAGGTAAAAAAAAACAACGATGCGTAAAGATGAAGTCAAAAATGAAGATCAAAGTACATAAATTTAAACACTTTACTTATATAAGGGCAAAGGTGAAGGGGAATATGTAGAAGAAGAAAATGATAAACAGAAAAGTAAAAACAAAGATAAATGTAAAGAAAAAGATGAGGATGAGGATGCCGATAACAGTAAAGATGAAGATGGAGGAAGAAAGATTAAAATAAAGGTAACTATAGAGAAAAGGATATAGATGGAGACACAGAGACTCATTTTAGAGACTTTCGGGATTCTCGAGACTTATCGATATAACAATCGAGATTTTTATCGGTTTTGTTAGCGATATATTTATCGATATTGTTATTGGTTTTGTTATCGATATTGTTATTGGTTTTGTTATCGATATTGTTATAGATCTTGTTATCGATATGTTTTTAGAATTTCTTTTCGATTTTGTTATCGATACTGTTGTCGATAATTTATCGAACTTGTTATCGATTATTTGTCGATTTTGTTTCCGAGTATTTATCGATTTTCTAAGCGGTTTTTGTTTTCGATTATTTATCGATTTTGTTATCGAAATTTTTATCAAATTTGTCATCGATTTGTATCTGTTTTGTTATCGATATTTTGTTGGATTTTAGTATTGATTTTGTTATCGATAGAGTATAAAGATAAAAATGAAGATAAAGGAAAACAGAATGACATAAATGTAATAAGAACGAACAGGGGTAGAGGTAGGGATATAGATAAAACAAGACAAAAAATATAACCTAAAGCAAAAGCAGATGTATGTATGTAGGTATATTGGTTATGAGACAAAATAGATAAGTAACGTAAGTTTCACTTCTCCAGTGTGGCCCAGGCGCACTTTCTTTTTTA